GGGCCAGCCCAGATTAGGAAACACAAAGCATACTGCTGTGTTTCTGTGCTGCCTGAGCTAATGGATCCGTGCTGCACAGCCATTGGGAAGGGAACCTCCTACGCCTGCGCTGTCATAAAAATTGCTGCGCTGGCCAGGGAAATTGGTGCGCCAGCACGCCCTGGCGCAGCTTAAAGGGAACCTAGACCACCACCCATATCACTGTTTTGCCTTGGCTGGGTGGTAAGTCCGTGATAAAGTCCCTGCCCAGGGTCACTTGGGGGTTTCAAGGGCTGTAACAATCCAGGCACCTCCCCCCCACCATGCTTACTCATAAGACAGGTCTAGCATGAGGCTACATATTTGGAGATATCCCCTCACATGAGAAACCACCAAAACGGTCTCTGAATCAAATGCAAGCTTTCAAAGAACAGATCAGCAGCACAGGTCTCCAGGTAGTCAGAGGAGAAGCCTGGCTGAGGAGCACACACTTAAGCGGGTTATGGCTTCAGAGTGTGATCTGAATTTTCCTGCAATGCTTTCAGGCACAAACAGGCATTCACTGCCTAGCCACAGGGTTGGATCCTCTCACTCCCAGGGGGTTCCACCCCCACCAGCCTGCTGCCCTTTCCTGAGTGGTACGGGCTGCTCATCTCCAGAGCCCGCCCTCACAACAGCCGTTCTCTCTTGGAGGCAGAGCTCAACCACCCTGCCGAGGTCCCCCGGGCAGAGCTTCCCTTCCAACTGTCTGCTCTCTTGCTGAGGCAAATCCCAAACTCTCCCTGATGCAGACCTGAACTACCTCTTGTTGTGCTTCCCTCCGACATTTTATTCCCATCCCAAAAAGGTGATTGGATGTCAGAGCAGCTCTCCCATAGGCTTAGCTGAGCAGCTGTTTTCCCCTTCAGGGGCAGGACAGCCTCCTGTCCATCACAACCACCCAAGGCAACTTAAAGCAACAGAGACAGAGAATCCAGGCATGGCAAAATGGAAGTCCATCAATGCTTTCAGCATATGAGGCGATGCTAAGATGCCTTCCTGACTTTCTCCTTGTTCATGCCCTGTTTTTATGTATGCATTTATTTATGTAAGAATATAAGAGAAGGCATGTTGGATCTGGCCAGTGGCCCCTCCAGTCCAACACTCTGTGTCACACAGTGGCCAAAACCCGGGTGCCATCAGGAGGTCCAGCAGCGGGGCCAGAACTCCAGAAGCCCTCCCACTGTTGCTCCCCCAAGCACCAAGAAGACAGAGCTTCACTGCCCCAGACAGAGTGTTCTGTCTATACCTTGTGGCTAATGGCCACTGAGGGACCTCTGCTTTATTCTCTTATCCTCACAACAACACTGTGAGCTGACAGTGTCTGACCAGCCCAAAGTCTTGCTCAAGTTACTATGGAGAACTAGCTGGCTTGTCACGCCCATCAAGGGTTCTGAACAGTTCAACAATTTACACATCCCTACATCAGCATCAGCTGTCCCCGAAAGAGTACTTTTGCAGAAAGGGACTGGAACTTTCCCCGTCTGGTTCTGAGCATTTGCTTCTCAATGTTCTGTTGGTGTTTCCCATTGTGAGAACCTAACTGTGACCTTAGCATTTAACTGCACTCCCTGCAATCATGTGCAATAAGAAGTACTTAATTAAACCTGAATTATATGGTAACAGCATAGTTCCCAGAGGTGTACGGGGTGGAGGTGGGGAGATTAATTGATATTGGGATTCAGAAACTGTCCCTGGAGAAGAGATCTAAGTGCTGCAATACAGAAAAATTGCCTCTGCTTGCACTTAATGGTGGCGGCAGCGGCGGCACTGGTGTTCTGAATAACTGCTCTTTATTTTGCCGCAAAGCCCTCCCAATGCATAGAGCACAGAGGCTAACTAGCAGTGGAACTCTGCTCTGACCAAAGAGCAAAGTTTGAGTCCAGTGGTGGCACCTTCGAGACCAACAAAGTTTAATTCTGGGTATAGACTTCTGTATGCACACACACGTCATCATCTGGAAAAGTGTGCATGCACACAGAAGCTTATACCCAGAATTCAACTTTATTGGCCTTGGAGGTGCCCCCACTGGTCTCAAACTTTGTTCTATTGCTTCTATTACACAGCAACCCACCTGAATCTGACCAAAGCGATCAGGGAGGGTGCTTTCTGCTAGACTAAAACACCCCAACGAGCACAACAGACCCACAGGAACCAACCCACGGTTGTATTTCACAGAACTGAAAAGTATTTACTATTGTCAAGGGTTTTTTCCAATTCTTTTCAGTAATATTCTGATAACTGTCAAGCTCAGGCCTCCCTTGCCAAAGGGAAATGGCAATAGCAGGTGAATGTTAATAGCAAGTTTGACTGGAATAGATGTGATGTGCAGAGGGGTAGTAGGTGTGGAGATACCAGCATTGGTAACAAGACAGCGTACTTAGGTATCAATTCCATCCAGGAGGATTAAGTCCAGTAGGATGCAGAAAATAAATGAACATAAGTTAGACGCTAGACTGCTGAAATGCCATTGTTAATGAAAATGTTCTATTTGTGCCTTTTAGAAAATATCACGATGAAAATTCAAGATATAGAATTGGCATCTTATTCTACTAATTTTGAGGATGCGTGGTTTCTGTTTCTAAGCTTTGTGTCTCGTCATGACCAGGCAAGATGGTTATCGGATTGGACTAAATCAATGTTATTGAACTGACTTGCATAAGATATTTCCTTTCCCACAAAGAACAAGTTCTGATGGCCTCGGGAGAGATGGAAATACTGTCATATTGAGCATTTGGTATCTCCTTTTTGTGAATATTTTGTATTTAGATTTGTTACTTTACATTTGATCTATGAAGTTTCTAAATTGTAAATAATATGGCTGAATGTTTTGTTTTATTTTTTAATAAATCTATTATTATAACGTAACCCAGCCTTTAGGTGCCTCTGTCTTGTTTACAAAATGAGCTAAAAATGTTACTGAATTTGGCTTTCCCAAATCTTATTGTACAGCTCTTTGGATGTTTCATTTAATTCTGCTCACTCTACGTAGCAAAGCCACACAGGAAAGCAGCCTTTGCTACAGAGATGGATGGACTTTGGGGCTTTTCTTCTTTGCTTGGTTCTGCATTATTAAAATCTCTTTAATGAGTAATACCGCAGGAAATGAGACAGAGAAGGAGAGAATTGGTATGAAAATAGGAAATACATTGTTCAGTGTGCCCCAAGCGTGCAGGAATATCTGTTTACCCTCCATGTGCTCCTGATGTGCGGATTTAGATATCTGCACAGAGGGGGAAATCTTGGCTATTAGACACATAGATAACTCTGCTTAGGACTTCACTGCAAATCATTTCGTTAGAACTAGCCTCCTACCCGTTCTTCACTACGGTATTTGAGTTCCATAAATCCAGTTATAATACTGATGATGTGAAATTTGAAATGTGACATTTGTTGTAGGAATTCTAAGGGAGAAGATTGTAGTGTAAGAAATGAAGTGAGACGTACATACTCTTTTTTCCTCTCTACTGAAGGACCTCTCTGTAGACCACATGGGTGGTTCTGCCCTCAGGTGCCGGGATCGCCAGGCTGCTTGGTGAGCTCACTCTGGAGCAGGCCACACAGAACTGTCCATGTGAGAAGCAGTCGTCTGTTAAGTCCACTCCTGGTACCTTCCACGAAAGGGATGGCCTCTCTACTTGTGTTCCTGGATTGTTTTGCTCCTATGGAGACTGTGCTGTTCTGAGCACCTCAGGGTGATCTCGCTGGTACTTGGCCTGTGCAGCTCAGTGCCCCGCAGGAGTCCTATATGCAGATGTCTTTGCCGCATTCCTAAGTTGCCTCCTCCTTGTAGCGTTGGTGTATCTGGCTCGATGTTTGCCTGTCCAGTGTAGGAGGGGGGAGGAGTATTAGAAGCCACTGTGGAGGTGGGGCTGCACCTGACAGACAACCGCCTGTTAGGTGAAGGAGGTGGGGGAGTGTGTTGGAAGCCATCAGAGAGGCTGGGCCAGCAGCTTTGCTTCACCTCACAGGTGGTCCTTGGCCACTCCTGATTTCCTCAACTGTCATTAGCTCTGCAATCCCCTGTAACTGTTGGGGGTTTTTTTACCTCAGAACACTGAGCTCCAGGGGTCATTTCATAGAAAAAGTGCTAGGGGGGCTCATTAGCATAACTCATTAGCATATGCCACACCCCCTGACATCACCGGAAGTGTGTCCTCCCCACAGCCGGCGGCGACCTCCAGCGGGCACCAGCAGGGAGCTCCAGGCCCCGCCCTCCCGCACCTCACCCGGGGGGATGGCGTCCCCCCGCGTCCCCCCCAAATGACCCCTGCTGAGCTCTACAGCTGACCAATCAGAGAGTGGGGGGTGCAGGGAGGCAGCAGCCTGGCAGTCACATAGGATTATATATATATATATATATATATATGGGATTTTTGCTTCTTCACAGGTATTAAAGCATCCTCATTCTAGCAAAATTGTTTTCTTTTCACCTCCCAGCTTTGAGAATAAGTTTGTCATAACTTTCAAACGGTATGCCATTTCTAGTATAACAACTGCACAAGTCCCCCTCCTGCCCAGATCCCCAATAATCTGGGTTTAATTTTCAGCCAAAACTGAAGGCTCTACCTACACCCAAAAGGAAGCAGAGAAAGTCTCCAAGAGTCAAACCATCTAATGAATCTCATTTGCCATGTCTGGAAAATAATAGATGGCATCAAACTTTGAAAATACACTTACATATACCAAAAAATAGCTGTAATTTAAAATATTTGTTTCAACATTATTAAAGCTATCGTGAAATTATATTTGTATAAATGCCAAGTACAAATAGATAAAAAGTGAGAAATCGTGGTATTAAAAGAAAGAGACCTTTCCCAGGAAAATGTATTTGCAATTCAACTGATCATATAAAAGCAAAATTTAAAAACTTTATACATTTTTTATGTGCTATGGTTTCACCCTTCCGTTTAACTACATTCTAGAATACTTTTAGAGAGTTCCAAATACACTTTGTGCGCATAGCACTGCGACCAGAACTTTTACACTGAAGTCACTCGCATTACAATTTCTCCAGAGCTGTCATCCTCCGAAGAGTCCTCCTGAGGTCTCATTCGATTGAAGAGATGTAGCAACACGTAGCTGCACTGAAATCTTGGGGAGGTTAACTGCGTTGGATGAACCAGACTCCTGCTTCGAAATGCATTTACTGGTAACCACAAAGTCCTCGTTGCGGAGGACTCTCCTCGGTTGCTCTCTTCTATGTCAGTCGCTTTGTCGTAATTCAGTACATTCCAGTGTAGATTGACAGCTCTCCAACGCTTAAATACTTTGCATACTGAGGCACCTTCGTGTACAATCAGTCCTGAAATTAAAGGAAACAATTATGCAGCCCCCTAGAATTTTACCCCAAGCATAGCTATTTGCAAGCCAATGCTACTAAAATTGAATTGATAGGCTGAGCCACAATGGAGTTAAAAGAAGTTAAAGGTAAAGGTAAAGGTTCCCTTGCTCGAAAACCAGTCGAGTCCGACTCTAGGGTTGTGGTGCTCATCTCCGTTTCAAAGCCAAAGAGCCAGCACTGTCCAAAGACATTTCCGTGGTCATGTGGCCAGCATGACTAAACACCAAGGCGCACGGAACGCTGCTACCTTCCCACCGAAGTGGTACCTATTTATCTACTTGCAATTTCTTGCTTTCGAACTGCTAGGTTGGCAGGAGCTGGAACTAGAGACGGAAGCTCACTCCATCATGCGGCGCACTCGAGTCTTGAACTGCTGAACTTCCACAGCCTGCAGTTCAGCGTCTTAACCCCTTGAGCCACCGCAGCTCCTAAAAGAAGTTATTAGGTTTCAAATGACTGATATCCACTAGGTGAAATGGCTTTCCAACCAGGGAATGTTTTCTAGATGGGACGTGGGTTGCACTGTTAATGAGCAAGAGGGGGAAAAGATAATGTTCTAACTTAAATGACAGTGCATTAAATGTGTCAGATTCATGTAAACTACTACACTGTATAAACTGAACAAAGTCCAAGTCCAGAGGCACCTTGAAGATCAACAAAGTTTTATTCAAGGTGTAAGCTTTTGTGTGCGTGCTTTGAATAAAACTTTGTTGGTTTTAAAGGTGCCACTCCTCCTCTTCCTCCTCCTCCGCTGGACTCAAACTTTGTTCTACTGCTTCAGACTAACACGGCAACCCACTTGACTGTATAAACTATATATTTAACCTGTAAAAGGTAAAGGTAAAGCAGGGTTGCGGTACTCATCTCCGTTTCCAAGCCGAAGAGCTAGCGCTGTCCGAAGACGTTTCCGTGGTCATGTGGCTGGCATGACTAAACACCAAGGCGCACGGAACGCTGTTCCCTTCCCACCGAAGTGGTACCTATTTATCTACTTGCAATGTCTTGCTTTCAAACTGCTCGGTTGGCAGGAGCTGGAACTAGAGACGGGAGCTCACTCTGTCATGCGGTGTACTCGGGTCTCGAACTGCTGAACTACCGACCTTCCACAGCCTGCAGTTCAGTGTCTTAACCACTTGAGCCACTGCAGCTCCTACTTAACCTGTAGTTTTTACTAAAATAGATAATTCAGGAAAATCCAAGCCCGTGGGTGGCATCCAGCGCAAAAAACCTGCTTGGGCGTGTGCTCTCGCACAAGAGGAAGCATGAGAAATAGATGAGAACAGCTGCTTGCATGAAGACAAACATTCTGTATCCCCCCCTTGTGTCTCCTCTTGTGCAAGACATTGTGCAACCTCTTTCTAGGCCATGTAATAGATAGGGAACAAAGCACACCATCTTATATGAGCAGAACTCTGCTGTCCACATAGATTTCTACTTGCATATCTTTGGACCCAAGCCAATGTCTTTAAACCGAAGACCTTTATTTACAGTAAGCAAATTTATTCATAATCTTTGTTAAATTCATGATAAGAAGTGATGATAGTTAAGCAGCAAGACCTCTAAGTATCAGCAGAACGTAATTGTTGTGCTGTCTCGCCTTAAAATAGTATATTTTATGCTGAATTGTTTATTAATACATTTATTCGAGTCCAGTGACGGATTAACGAAAGCCCAGTCTTCCCGTTTCTTCGGATCTCTCATTTCTGGAGCCACAATTGACTTGTGTGAGGCAGGTACCAAATGCTGAGGGTGGGGTGCCTCACCTGGTCGGAGGGCCTTCACTCGGCAGTCTATGAGGGAGGCGTTCTCAGCCTTTTGGAAGAAACTTCCCAGCATAGGGTGGTTTTCAGGACCCGCATGCAAAGTGACCCCGTGTTACTTCCCAACTCCTCCATATAAAATGAAGAAATCACACATCAGTTACCACTGAACGAGCACGTATCTTGTTTTTCATGTTAACTATTCCTATTTAGTGTTACTGAGATGTATATTTTTAAAATATATTTTATTGGTTTTTATACTTCTAAACCCTACAGGGAAAGGGACAAGGGAACAACTCTAAAACTACAACAAGTAGCATCTGAAAGATACAATTGAATATATTTCCCGCTTTAACAATAGGTGAAAAGATTAGATATATTTTTATGCCAAAATACATTATGCTCATTCTAGGTTTCTTATAATCCAATATTAGAGTTTATTTTTTACACTTCTTTCTCTTGACTGTTTGATGTCTTTGGAGCCGCCGCACCTTCCTCAGATTCTGAAGTTGTACTGCTGGATTTGCTTGACTTGCTTGAAGAATCATCCATTTCCTCGCCACTATATTCCTCTTCTTCGCCATCATCATTATTCAGGTTTAATTGCTGTTTTAAGAAGCTTTTTGCCTTTTGGGCAGTGTCAATTTTAATTTTCTTATCGTTGAATTTGAATGTGAGTCCTTCTGGGAACGTCCATCTGTATACAATTTGTTTATTTTGGAGAAAAAGAATCTATACTGATGCCTTCTTTCCCGGATCTCAAATGGAATGTCTTTTAGGATTTTAATTTCCTCCTCCCGGATCTTTAGTATTTTCCCCAATGTGGCTTTCAAAACATTGTCTCTCATAGTTCTCTTAGAGAATTTCACGTAGATTTCACCGGGCAGTTTATTTTTTCTTATAAAGTCCAGGTAAGTACAGTAAACCAAATCCATATCCTTCTGGAGGTCTTCTTGCTTGAGATCTGAAATTGATGCGATTGCTTCGCTTAAAATCCTTTTTAAGTCTTCTCCCTTTTGCTCAGATAAACCTTCAAAGCACAAAACATACATGGATTTTCCCAATTGAAGCTGTAGAAGTTGATTTTTTTCCGTGTTTCTTTCTTTTTTTCTCCTCTGCCATCTTTTGCTCAATATCTTTAGTCTTTCTTTCAACCTTCTTAATTTTTTGGTCCGTTTTGTCAGCTCTCTTCCCCATTTGTAAGAGTTGTTTTTGCACAGAGTTTAGCTTTGAGTTCATAATCAACATTTGCTCCAGCAGAGGGCGCAATGCAGAGGCCAGCATGTTGGGAAAGTCTGGAGCCGTCTCTAGGGATTGGGTGGGAGTTGTTGGTACTGAGCTTCCAAGAGGAGGTTTCTTCTCCGCCCCTGTTCTTTTCCCTCTACCAGCCATTGTTTTTGTTACGAGAAAATTTATAGTTTTAAAGTAAAAGTCAACCGATTTCAGCGCTTCTTGGATTAAATTACACCTTTCAAACTCGAATAAAGTCTCATATTGTTAGTTATGCCTTCTCTATCTTTTTTTGCCGCACTTACAGACCGTTTCATTCAGGGGGGGGTGGAACTCCAACCCTTCCCCACCTGCCGCTTCTTGCCAGGTTGATCTAACGATCAGAGACTTTATAGCTTAAAAAAGAGTTACTTAGCTCATTGTTGTGCTACAATTATTCATTGCAGGTGTTGGTTTCGCTTCTGCTCTTGTACACTCATTCGGTGGTCATCTCTAAGTGCCATAATGGCTCCATGGCATCAGGACCTTTCAGGGGGAAAATAAGCCTCAATCTCTAAGCCGTCGTTTTGGGAGAGGCTTATCTCAGCTCCCAGGCTGGGGGGCCTTCTACAAAGGCCCCGAGGGGGTCTGGATCCAGCCAAGACCCCTCCTGATCACCCTGGCTTGGTGCGTCTCCATCAGAGCTAGATAGGACATGTCCAAGTGCAAGCCGCCATGAACCGTATTACTGAGATGTATTTCATGGCCATTTGACAAATTAGGCAGAGGCAAACCCAGGTTTACCCTTGAACCAGGTTTACCTTTCCTCCACTTAAGCTGGAGGAAGACTCCTTTGACTGGAGATTTCCAGTTTTGCGTAGTGGGATGCAGGGCTGGCCACTGATCGAACCCAAGCCTGTTTCACTGGGTGGTGATGGAAAGCACCGTCCAGTCGCAGCTGACTTATGGCGACCCCCGGTGGGGTTTCCAAGGCAAGAGGCATTAACAGAGGTGGTGTGCCATGGCCTGCCTCTGCATCAGGACCCTGGACTTCCCGGGAGGTCTCCCATCCAAGTACTCAAGCTTAGCTTCTGAGATCTGAGAAGACTGGGCTGAAGTGGTCGATCCGGGTCAAGCCTGTTTCACTCAATGATACCTTAAAGCAGCTGGATCCAGTCAGTCTTACCTGAACTCTGTACGTGACAAAACACTCTCAGACTGGTGTAATGAATATGAGTTCTTGCTGCTGTTTCAAGAGGACGCCGACATGGGGGACTCACCCAAACTAGTGGGTCAGTGGGGGGGGGGGGGCTTGGCCAGGAATCACCCATTTCTATTTCCTGTGCGGTCAAGTCTGCCAGGCTACTTTTGTGTCTTTGCCATGTGCACAGAGGTGATTAAAACGATCTAATCCTCACTTGGATTCAATCGTGCTCTGTGGTCTCTGCTGGCTTCTGAGGAGATGCTCTTAGAAGGAGTGTGGGTTGGAAAAGAATGGCTGCGCTCCTCCGGAAGCTGGATAGGAGCATCATAAAACAGCTGATCCCAAACGACCTCTTGCCACCTCGAAGACTAACAGGGAGTCGTTTAGGGGCTTACCTATGCACACGAGATCCATGAATCCATACATTCCGTAGCAGATCTGGAAAAGGACGTCTTTCCTTTGCCATACAGCGTAGGGACTGAGGGCCGACCAGAGCAGCCACATCACGCTGGCTGCTAAGAACAGCGATCCCAAAACGACGGCGACCAGCTGCACTTTCTCGACCAGGGAGACTGTGATGCTTTGCCACTGAAAGGAAGGAAAAGTCCCGTCACAGGTTTGCAAAAGCACTTCAAGCGAAGCTGGACTCCTCACGGGAATGTTCCTATGACAAGTGTGTCTGCTCATACGCTTAGGGGAACTTTTCACACTAGTGCCCGGCGTTGCCAGGTTCACCCTAGGCCACCAGTGCGGGATGGAGGGGCACTGCTGCCAGGTCCAGGCTGGGCAACTCCTGGAGACTCAGGGATAGAGCCTGGGGAGGACACAGGGGCATCAATGGGGCACAATGCCAGAGAGACCACCCTCCAAAGCACCCGCTTTCTCCAGGGGAACTGATCTCTGTAGTCTGGAGGTGAGCGATAATTTTGGGGGATCCCCAGGCCCCACCTGGAGGGTTGGCATCCCTATTCACATCTGAGTAGCAACTGGAGGAAGCTTAAAGAACAGTTTGCGGAGGCGCTCTGGTGATTAATCTGCTCGGGCTGCGATCACACACCTGAATAATCCACTTCCAGTGCACTTTCCAACTGGATTTTACTGTGTGAACGGGCAAAATCCACTTGGAAAGTGCATTGGAAGTGGCTTGAAAGTGGGCTATTTAGCGTGTGTGATCGCAGCCTTAAGCTTTAGCTATGTCCCATGTCAGGTAAACGAAAAAAGAATGAGAGGCGCTATCAAATGGCAGATATTCTAGTCACAGCGATTAAACGGAGGTGGAAACTGAGTGCACTGCCTGCCTGCTGCGGCGGTTGTGTGGCCTCCGGGAAGGGCACCCTGGCATGAGGCATTCCCGTTTGAATCCCACTGCACACTGATTGTACTAGTTCCCCACACACACACTGCCTCTACCAACTGCAATTCAATGGGGAGGGGGAATATTCAACATGCTTGGCTGTGGCCAGGTTGGAGCTCAGAGAATGGGGATCTTGGTATCATCCAGGTAAAGGTAAAGGCTCCCTTGCTTGAAAGCCAGTCAAATCCGACTCTAGGGTTGCGGTGCTCATCTCCGTTTCAAAGCCGAAGAGCCAGTGCTGTCTGAAGACGTTTCCGTGGTCATATGGCCGGCATGACTACACACCAAGGTGCACGGAACACTGTTACCTTCCCACCAAAGTGGTACCTATTTATCTACTTGCAATTTCTTGCTTTCGAACTGCTAGGTTGGCAGGAGCTGGAACTAGAGACAGGAGCTCACTCCGTCATGCGGCACACTCGGGTCTCAAACTGCTGAACTACTGACCTTCCACAGCCTGCAGTGAGAGTGAAGTGAAGTAGGAGTGACCAATGTACACTGCCTTGAGTACCGTGAAGGAAGGGCAGGAAAGCTTCTAGAACGGTCCTTTGATACTGGGCAGAATTCCCAATGGCTCTTAAGCTACTTTATGGTGCAGCGAAGTTAAGAGCGTCTTGTCTTGGCTCAAGGCTGCTCCAGTCTTCCTCTTTGATGAACGGCTTGGAATTCCTTGTGATGTACAGAAGAGGAGCACGCACCATTTTTATTTATTTCATTTCAATTAATTAAAATATTGATATAACCTGCCTTTCCCCCGAGTCAGCCCAGGACAATGAAGACTAAATTTAAAAATGTGTTCTGTGGGGAGGGGTTGTGACCCAGCGGTGGAGCCTCGGCCGGCCTGTCCCGCAGCAAGTCTCTCCCCGGCACTCAAACAGTTAAAAGGATCAGCTCTTCGGTACTGTGAGTGACTGAGACCTTGGAGAGCCACTTGGAGAGTCTGAGTAGACAGTGCTGAGACTTTGAGGGACCGGGGTGTGTGTGTGTGTCTGACTCAGCACAAGGCAGCCTCATGTACCCCTGCGTGTCTACAAAAGGATCTGGGTACCACCATCACCCAAACTTAATGCATAAGGCTGCTGGAAATGTTTTTAGAATTACCTGGCACGGCTTTTTCATTTTGATTGCTATCACATGGTATCTGTAACAGCAGAGTTCACAGGTCCAGGAGCCTCTTTCGCTGATCCACTTCAACAGGCAGAGCTGATGGGTGTACCGCACGGAGCCATCACAGCGACAGGGGTTTAGCAGTTCACCCTGGGGAAAGGGAGAGAGGTTACATGTCAAATGGATTGAGGTCCAATGGCTCATAAACACGGCATTAAGCAATCTCCAGCAGCTGTCTCAAAGTCTGTTTTCTCTACTTGTTTTTTAAAAATCTCTTCTTTTGTCTAGAAAAAACCCTATTTGTTTTCAAAATAGGATTCTGTTTATTTCAAATGGATTGAGGTCCAATTGCTCATAAACATGGCATTAAGCAATCTCCAACAGTTGTCTCAAAGTCTGTTTTCTCTACTTGTTTTTTTAAAAATCTTAGAAAAAACCCTATTTATTTTCAAAATAGGATTCTATTTATTTCTCCCATCCCAAGCTGCATATATGGCCTAAGAGCAATACTCTTTATATAGTTTGCATTTATTTAAGGAGTTGTATCCTGTTATTGGGCAAATCAATCATTTTAAAGAAAAACTGAATTAATCCAAGAGATATATTAATCTCATATAAAAAGAGTGCACAAACAATACCTGTTGTAAGAACATAAGAGAAGCCTTGTTGGGTCACACAGTGGCCAAAACCCAGGTGCCATCAGGACGTCCACCAGCAGGGCCAGAACTCCTGAAGCCCTCCCACTGTTGCCCCCCAAGCACCAAGAACACAGAGCACCACTGCCCCAGACAGAGTGTTCCACCTATACCTTGTGGCTAATAGCCACTGATGGACCTATGTTATCCAATCCCCTCTTGAAGCAGTCTATGCTTGTAGCTGCTACCACGTCCTGCAGCGGTGAATTCCACGTGTTAATTACTTCTTGGGTAACTAAGTAGTTTCTTTTACCTGTTCTAAGCCTACTGCTCCTTCATTTCATGGAGTGCCCATGAGTTCTTATCTTGTGAGAAAAGGATAAAAAGTACTTCTTTCTCTACGGTCTCTCCCATGCATAATTCAATCATCATTTCTCCAAGCTGTACATTTGCTGGACTTTGAAATCAGTATAGCCGTGATCATTAAAGTGAGAGTGGTGTTCAACAATTATGCTTGGGGAGGGTTGTGACTCAGAGGTAGAGCAGAAGGTCGCAGGTTCAATCCCCGTCATCTCCTTTTAAAAGGATCGGCTAGGAGGTGATGTGAAAGACCTGTTTTCGAGAACCCAGAAAGCTGATGTCAAATTGAGTAGACAGTACTTACCTTGATGGACCAATGGTCTGATCCAATATAAGGCAGAACTATATGTCAATGAATATGTGTTTGGATCTCATGTTTGCATGAGAACTTGTTGGCATGACTAAAAGCAGATTTCAATGTCTAAAAGCAGACATTACTCAGCACACACATCCCTGCAGGCCATTAAATGAACGGCAGAGGAGAGGAGGTCAGGCCAGTGGGACACTCGGCATTCATTACAGCAGCCTCAGAAGAGCCTCGGTTTCTACACGGAGTGCATTTCTTTCCATAGCGTAGAGACTTGGCATGTGGAAATCTGAATAGCATGGCATCAAATGCAGGAGATGGTGACCTGGTGGTGACATAGGCTGAGATTATAACACCAGCCTTAAGAAGAAGAAGAAGAAGAGATTGGATTTATACCCCGCCCTTCACTACCCAAAGGAGTCTCAGAGCGGCTTACAAACTCCTTTCCCTTCCCCTCCCCACCACAGACACCCTGTGAGGTGGGTGGGGCTGAGAGAACTCTGACACAAACTGCTCTTTTTCAAGGACAGCTGTGCCAGAGCTTGTGACTGACCCAAGGTCACATCAGCAGGTGCAAGTGGAGGAGTGGGGAATCAAACCCGGTTCTCCCAGATTAGAGTCGGCACACTTAACCACTACACCAAACTGGCTCTTATTTTGGCTGCCTAGGCAAAGGAAAACAAGAGGGCATATACAGCTCCTTCTCTCAGAATATCCAGGTTCAGGTTGGAGGGGGTGCAGGCTATTTTTTGTGGGTGTTTTTAGATGAAGACAACAACAAGTAACCAAGCATGTTCAAAAGGAATTTCAGAAACAGACTAGAAGGGAAGATTGCTGAATTACAAGTTATTACAGCACTCAGAATAATGGAACCCCCAGGGCTTAACAGAGATATTGGGTTCTTCATTCAGTTCTCACATCTGTTTGTTCACTCTTTTATTACCTGTATGCTAATTTGCTGCTATTCACAGGTCCTACCAACTTCTTTAATCCAATCTGAGCTACACTTATCGCTCTGTTACTTATGCATTTTGACTCTAATTAGCCCTTCCTGACAACCCCCGACCTATATGTTGTTGTTGTTATTTATTGAATGTAATGGTTGGTGAAGTGTGTTTCAATGTATCTGAAAAAGTGTGCATGTACATGAAAGCTCATGCCCAGAATGAAACTTCATTGGTCTTAAAGGGGCCACTGGACTCAAACGTTGTTCTACAATTTCCAGAGGCAACATTCTGCTTTATAACTTATAACTTAAAGGAAAGTTATAATTTATAACTTAAAGGGGGGTGGGGAGTAGTAGAAACTTCAGGCTCAGGGATTTTAGATATGATTCTAGCCAATGGAGAACAGAAAGAGCACGTGAGCTATAGAAGGTGAGATAATAAGAAAAGGAAACGGAGAGTGCAGTGAAGTACCATGTATTTTATTTTAGAAAAGCGGGGGGGGGGGTTATAAACTCCACATAGTTGTAAAATATATAAGCCAAATGAAAAGAGATTCAAGAGGAATCTGGAAGTTTCTACAGGAAATTGTACTGGAAGGACGGTTGCAAACCATTCTATTCTGGAATGAGAACGGAAACACAGAAGAATTGATGTGACTGCACTGAAGTGTTTTCACTGATCTAGGAACCCACTGGCATAACCCAGTGGGGCAGTGGATAATGCATCTGCATATTCTAGGTTTGACTCCTGGCTGGCATGGCAGGACTTTTCCCTGACCTCAATGGCCCAGGCTAGCCTGATCTCATCAGGTCTCAGAAGCTAGGCAGTATCTGTCGGATATTGTAACTCTGCATGCAAGAGGACCTGGGAGGGAAAGGGTTAAGGGAATTCTTTCACTGGGGACACTCGGCAGTTGCCCCCCCCCCCATTGGTTTGAGCCTTTTTGGCTGTTGCTTTTGCCTTCTGTTTCGTAAGAACATAAGAGAGGCCAATGTTGGATCAGGCCAAAGGCCCATCCCGTCCAACACTCTGTATCACACAGTGGCCAGAAATACCAGTGCCATCAGGACGTCCACCAGTGGGGCCAGGACATTAGAAGCCCTCCCACTGTTGACCCCCCCCCAGCACCAAGATGACAGAGCATCACTTGCCCCAGAGTCCCTATCTATACCTTGTGGCTAATATGGTTATCCATATGCTTATCTAATTCCCTTTTGAAGCCGTCCATGCTTGTAGCCGCCACCACTTCCTGTGGCAGTGAATTCCAAGTGTTAATCACTCTTTGGGTGAAGAAGTACTTCCTTTTATCCATTCTAACCTGACCACTCAGCAATTTCATGGAGTGCCCACGAGTTCTTGTATTGTGAGAAAGGGAGGAAAGTACCTCTTTCTCTACCTGCTCTTTTTCCATGTTTCCTCTTATATGGGACCTCTCTTCTTCTTCTTCTCCTCTCTCTTACCTGGGCTTGGAGCTGTAGTGACTTAACCTTTTTGAAGTTATTCTGTTCACAATACGTTAAATGTACTGACATGAACATGTCATGTCAGATGTGCTTCTATTTTTGTAAGTAACATTTCTTTCTCTCGTTACCACTGGAGTTAGATCATCTTTGTAATTTGTTTGAACAGCATTTCCCCCTGAACTGGGAAACGTGGAGGATCGGGCATACTGTGTAAAGCCTCTGTGCTTCCAAGGCAAATGATTTCTTTCTTTTTTTTACATTTAACTCCAATACTATCCGCCCTGGTTAGTGTTTGGATGGGAGACCACCAAGAAGGTCCAGGGTCACTACTCAGAAGGAGGCAGTGGCCAACCACCTCTGGATGTCTCTCGCCTTGAGAACTCTACAGGGCGGCCGTAAGGTGGCTGTGGCTGGACCCCACTCTCCTCTACCACCGCCAGGGGCCAAGAGAGAAATTACCAGGAAGCGGAAGAAAGGACAGGTGGCTGAGGCTGAGACTATTGATATAATAAAAATATATTGGGAAAGAGCGAGAAAACCAATGAGAGAAAGGCCAGAAACAACAAACAGGAGATCAGAATGCAGAAAATACTTTTTCAACCTAGAAGGCCATACTGCCAGGTTAGAAAAGAAGGCTGAAGAGATGCTTTCCTTCAAGCTTTTCAAAGCAAGAAATGCCGCTGGCAAAAACTAGAAGGGGCAAAAGTTATAAGTAAAGAACGTGTAAACAGATACTTAAGAAGTGCAACTTGGGGCCGAACTAAAGGTTTCAGATTTTGCCAGATCCGGCCCCTCTGGACTTTTAAAATCCCTTTCCCCAAAGCTGCTGTGTGTCTGCTGGGAAAGGGACCTCCCGCGCCTGACGCGCCAGGATTCCTGAGGTGTGGCTGGGCTCTCGTGGGGTCCTGGTGACATTTGCCCCCAAACTGTGAAGGAAACTAACAGAAACATCCCAAGCAGCTTGACTCAGGATCCTACTCCAGCCTGCTCAGTGTGACTTACTCCCAGGAAAAGTGCTCTTAGGGTGGCACTCGCAAATGTTACAGCTTTGATCGGGAATGGCAGCTCCCAATCGGGAAATGTAGGCGGGAGTGAACTGTTTTTCAGAACAGGAGCTTCTGCAAAGGTTTAGAGCAGGATTGTGGCACCAATCCTATTAGCCTGTCTGGAGAAAGAACAGCCAGAATGAGGATTGTCACCCTTCAGGTGAACTTGAGTGTGATTAATCCCTCGAGCTGCTTGTGTGAGGAACACAGTCTCAAGATCAAACTAGTCCCAAAGCTTGGAAGTTTGCAGTTGGTGCTCCTTGGCATTTTTCTTTGTGAATAGCAGCTGCCCAAGGGCTCTGTTCTGGTCAGGACCCCGGCCCGGGAGGGAGGGAGGGAGGGAGGGAGGGAGGGAAGGGGTCTCACTTCTTCCCCAGGGCCATTTTCCTGACCTGAAAAGGCTTTGCAGAGTGACCTGCTGAGGAAAACAGAAGGCATTCTGTGCGTCGTCTCCATCTTTGCCCCAATGGGACAAATATGAACTCTTTGGGGGCCATTTCCCCACACATAGCAGTGCCAGTCTGAACTGGGCTTCTGTGCGGCTCCTACTTCTGAAGGGAAAGCAGTTGGGATTACCAAAGACAGGTCTCCCAGCATCTCACCTAGCTGCCCCTTGGAGCCATGAGACAGCACACTGGAGCATTTAGGGGGGAAAAATAATTGTAAGGGGAAAAAATAATTGTAGACCCTTGAACCTGACGTTCATGTCAAGGAAAAAATTTCATGGCAAAATAACAAAACCATTACGGCACAGCCCATGCAAAGTTCAGCCCCATGAGCTTAGCTCTCCCATAGACAGCAGTGAGACGCATCGAATTTAGCCTTGATTTTTACTTGGGAGGAGAAATGAGCATTTAATATTAGTCAGCATGACTTGAGGGAGCAGATAAACTGAAAACCAGTAACGAAGAGTGAGAAATGTTACACACAGAAATGCAAATGCAAATGGGGTTACTTGACTAGTTCAGGATCAGTGCTAATCAACTGAACATCAGTCAACAGTGAGAGTCACGACAAAATATGACAATACTTGGGGACCCAAAAGTGGGAAGAAAGATGGCCAAGAGGATTAAAAAAAAAACAAAAAAACCATAGATAAAGATAATTGATTTTAGAAAAGCCATCATACCTCTGTACCCAGTGTAGAGTTCCTCATCAGGAGTGCTACGTTCAGCTCTGGACCCAGGGTTCCCTCTAAGCTGTGTGTGTGAGAAGCTGCTCATGAACACTGGAAGCCCCGCTCAGCAGCCATCTGGCGCCACGTGGGGTCTTGCACGGCCCATGGCCCATTTGAAGATTTAACAGCAGTCCTGCTCTGCTCAGGATGGGAACTGTCTCATTCAGTGGGGGAGGGGGGGATCAGAGGGAACATTGGACACCACCACAGCTGAACTAGGATGCAGACAAACCTGAAAAGAGCAAACAACTGCAAGGACGGGAAAGACTTTACGAGAGGGAGATGGCTGCATTTATCCTAAACGCCATCAGGAACGATGGGGAAAGAAAGATGGTATAGATAGATGATAGATACAGACACACACGGTGAAGAAGCCATGGCTGGATGGCAGTCCCACCCTTCTGCATAGCTTGAATGGACAGTGACGCGCACACACGCAAAGTTCGGCTTGGAAGGGAGCAAAACTCTGGGCGGCTGGGCCTGATCCCTGAGGATCCCTGACGCTGACTCAGCTGGAGGACCTGACCGCTGTGACCCTGTGGATGGCCTTATGGAGCATCACAGTTAAAACGCCTTCTGTGTCTCGCTACATATGTGTGTAGGACAATCTAGAAACTATTTTATACTGCATTTGTTTCAGCTGCCCCAAGACCACAGCCGAAGGCCAGTGGTCGATACATTAAAGATGAGACGTGCGGGGGCTTGAGTGACCCAAAGCCCACTTTTTCAGAGAAGAAGAAGAAGAGAAGAGATTGGATTTATACCCCACCCTTCACTCGGAGTCTCAGAGCGGCTTACAAACTCCTTTCCCTTCCCCTCCCCACAACAGACACCCTGTGAGGTGGGTGGGGCTGAGAGAGCTCCGACAGAAACGGCTCTTTTCCAAGGACAGCTCTTATCAGAACTACGGCTTGCCCAAGGTCATCCAGCAGGTACAAGTGGAGGAGGAGTGGGGGAATCAAACCCGGTTCTCCCAGATTAGAGTCGGCACACTTAACCACAGGAGTGATGTGCGGTTGGGAAGGGCAGTTTGGGAGTTGGGAAGGGGTCCTCTCCTCTCCAGACAGGGATGCATGGGGCGGGGCTCCTCCCTCCTCCCCCCTCCCCCCCCGCGCGCTCTGGGGTCTGGAAGGGGCCCGTGGCCACGGATCCCACACCCTCAGCGGGACCAGTCGGACCTCAAGGCTTCCCAGCCGGCCTTGGCGGAGCTGGGGGGGG